ACATACCAACCACCTGCCAACACGACGAGAACGGTGGTGGGCAACTCCAAAGGTTTCTCCGCTTTTGGCGTTATGCGCCTATGGGGAGGCGGCCGCTCAGGTGGTAACTACTTGCGACGAGGGCATAGTTCGCGGGCGTGCCCTCAGCCCCTACCGTTGACATATACTATTTGCTGATTTGCTGACCGTACATCCATCCCAACCGGTGGTGTAGGTGTCCACATCTACTAATAGAGCTTCACGCGGAGGGTCTCGAAAACAGGAAACTGGCGCGCGTGTTCCTCTTGAGACAGACACCCGCGAAGAACGATCTATCTCCAAACCCCTTGCAATCATTGCATCGAGGCGACCAAGCCTGGCGGGTCTTCATTCGTTGAGCAAAGAATATCGGACCTAGCACAACTCCGCACCAACGCTTGTTTTCGCAACCCCCTGCCGAAGACACAGCCAGGCCTCGAGCAGCATGTCACCACATATCTCCAAGACCATGTACATTCCCAGTGGTGCCGCATTGCGGACAAAGCGACCCGCCTCTGCTGTTACACATACCCTGCCGGCACATTGTAGGCCGCCAATTGAATCAATTTGTATCGTGGACTGAAGAGGCATTGGCCCTCGTGGAGCAATCCTTGTTCAAAGGTGAAACACCACTGCTGCCGTAGACTAATTTAGGTAAGACGAAGCACCTCTGTGGGTGTACATACGCAATGATGGCGACGATTACTCGAATACTCCGAAGCACATGAGACGACTCTCCCTACAAGCGGCCATTTCAATGTCTCTGATTACACCAGTAGATGGAGAGAAAATTACGACTTAGATAGGGTAAGTTGCATTGTCACAAGAGACTACGACACGAGCAAGCTATGCAATCGGCCACGAATTTTACAGATCTCCCTCTCTCTTCCGTGCTCTCGTTGTCTCGCTGCTGCTGTCCGTTGCGGACGGAGGAATGATGCAGTGCTACAAAGCGGCCTACACGATCTCAATAAACCGCTATGTTGATACGACCGGAAGCGAACAAATTTGAACAACACTGCAAGAAGCGCCCGCAGTGCTCAGTGAAGTGCCCCGACAACCATTGCATCCGCTAGCTTCGGCTGCCCCTAGTGTCGATATCAAGGTGCGGCCCCCGCGTACTGTAGCACTGTAGCACGTGTTTTCGCGTGCAGAGAACGACGGCTGCCCTCTTTCTCCCTCTTGAGACTTCGTTGTTCTGTCGCTCCACGATTGTATTGAGTTTGCTGCGATGGCGAACCCTCTTTCTCAATCGCTCTTGACACTCACCACTCAGACAGGCCCACTCCTGAAAGCTTGTCCCTGGTATCCTTGCACACCCTCTCTCTGCCTGCCTCGTACTTCACTTGTTCGTGTGCGATGGCGGTGAACACAGCTGGTTCCTGAACCGTGCTCCGCGCGGCAGACCCGGGGGGGGGGTCAAAAACACAATACATTCTGCGTTTCCCCTTCCTAAAATCTGTGTGTGCGGGTCGATCACACCAAGCGATCTACCCTACACACAGCAAGGGAGGGCGCTGCTGCGTATCTTGACCTTAGCAGCACTCACTGCTCTCGCTGCCAAGGGTTGAGCGTGGTAGCGCTGTGGACTCGTGACTCAGCCGTGTGATGTATCGTCGTATGGAGAGAGGAGGAGGGCAGCGAGGAGCAATGCAAGGCGGAGGAGCAGGAGGAGGGCAGCGTAGCAGGTGGGTGGTGTGGACGACCAAAGCTCGGGCGCGATCTGTCTGTTCTCCTTGCACAACTCTCGATTGTAGGAGAGCCTTGGACGAAGACGATTGATTTTGCTCAAATACCTGTGTGTACATGATCCCACTGCTGTGGGGCCGAAATTTTCGATATTTTCTCTCGGTAAACCACCCCCCCCGCGCGAGATGTTGGCGCGCGTACATCCGCGCGAACAGCAGTCGACGTCTCTCGATTCAAAGGGACAAGAAGTACTTGCTCTGGTTCCTGGCTGACAGCGGCTACTCCCCCCCCGCCCAACTCCCCGTCTTGCCTTGACGCTACACCGTCCTCAATGGCTGTGAGTCTGGCGCGGACACTCGCTCTGCTTCTTGTTTCCCCCGCTTTTAGCCCGCTTGTGTGTGTGTGTAATATCTTCTGTCGTGCTAAACACCATAGACTAGACCCTCCACATGCATAGTCAGGTGGGGCAAGAGTAATCATTGCCTGGTGTACACTGGCATCCGCCAAGTGTGCGTGGGCACACGTCCTCGCATCTGTTTTCCTTGCACGAAAAGTGCATCGCCCTTCCCCTCCTCCGCCAAAAAGTAGGAGCGCACATAACCTCTCTTCCTCTGTTTCGCTCTGTCACTGGATGGACCCTCTATTTTACTTGCGTTGTCGACAGAGACGAAATACAGTACGTGTAAATAGTACAAGTACAAGCTGCTGCTGTAGCACACGAGCTTTCATCCATCTACAAACTCAATTCTAAGTCCTGCACCCGCTTGTCTCCCTTCAACTCCCCCTGCTGTAACGACACCCTCGAACGGAGTGTCATAGGATCTTGAACGGGTAGCCTTTCTTTCATATTGTGCATATGCGCTACAAGTAGTACATATACACATGCGCACTGGACATGTCTTCCACATCGTCCCGTCCTTTTTTTATTTGATTTTTCGAAGGGCGGAGGGCCGCACATGCGAGAGCGGCGAGATTTCCGTCTCGTGAAGTATGCACACAAGGCTCAAGGCTCCTTGTCTCTGGGAAGCATATGCTTAGGAAGTTTACTAGTGTACGCCCTTCGGTGCTACAACTCGCTTGTTACTGTAATAGTTTAGGTTGCGCCCGGTTCCTCGCAAGAAAAAAGGCGTTGTAATATATGTAGGGCATGGCGTTTCGCAAACGAACCAATTGCAGCGGTGTTAAGGAAGGTACCTCAGAATCGGCAGAAAACGCGGCTTTTTCTATTGTAAAAAAAATTGGACCGTGTAGATCGAGAAAAATCAAACTGGGCCCCAATCTCAAATCTCCATTATACGTTTTTGGCGTAGGTAAACGCCCGGTAAAGCAGCTTGATTCGCGTTCAATCCGTGACCGTGTGTTCATCGGGGATGCGATGCATACACACGTGGTGGAGAACGGCGGCGACGCCGCATCAACATTGCCGGATGATGTGGCGGTTTCGAGCAATTTCGGGCTGTTGCAATCATGTACATGGTATACAAGCAGTTCACAAGAATCGATTGTGGTTGCCTGCTGCTGCTGTCAAGGCTGCGACGCCACTCACACACGACTTCTGTTGGCTAAGACATTCTCGAGCTGTAGTGTGGTTGCTTGTGGCGTGCTGTAGCTGTGGGCAACCGAAGCACACATTTTCCTTGCTTGTTCACCAGTAATCTGTGCGGGAAGATTGGGCCCAAAATCTCAATATTCCAAGCACCTCGATCTTGCGTCACAAGGCCTAAACTGACGAGCGTTGCTGCAGTTTCTATCGATGATGTTGCTCAAGCCCGTCTGGTTTCTCCACGATATAGAGGTTTGTGTCTCATAAGTACGGCTTAGCGGTTTAGTGGGGGCACCGCCAATGATTTTTAGCCTACTAGTGTGACCTATGAGACAATATAAAAAATATTGAAAAAAAACACCATCACGGAGCCCCCATGACACAGGGGACGGCGTCCCCTCCGCTTTTTCCTGGCGTCCCCTTGTACTTATGGTTCATATGCTCCCTAAGCATGGCGGGGAGGGTCCTTGGTTTTGTTTTCGTACGGCTTGTCTGGCTCTGGGCAAGTGCTTCTCAAAGAAAGTGTTGGTTTGTCGAAACGACGCACACACCACTCAGAAGTCGTTTCAAAATAAATTACCTCGAAATTTCTTGGTGCTCATTTCAACAATGGTATTCATGAAGAAACGAAAAAGCGTCGGAGAGGATGTGTTCGTCTAGTCAGTCAGTAATTGTTTCAAACCTCCGGAGTTGTTTGTTCTGAAAATGTCCCCGACGAGACGTATCACGTCGATAGCCGGCGGATCACGTTACCTAACAACCTCTCTCGCCTCATGCTCTTGCGCCTACCGTCTCTTTTTCGAAAGCAGCTCCCCTCCTCGAAGAATCCACATGACAAACAACGACTGCGGCGGCGGCGGCGGTGGCGGGTCTTCTCCTCCTCCTTCTGGCCGTCGCCGGCATCTCTCGCCCAACGGGGGCGGCGGTGACGGCACGTGGAGAAACAACGGCGCAGGCGGCAGCAACGAAGAGAGCGGGGGGGGGGCGCGGAGGAGGGTAGAGGGGGGAGGGTGGGTCGCGGGGGGTCCCGGCGATGGAAGGGGGGGGAGATTTGGGGGCGCAAGAGGACCGGGTCGCCGAGGGAACAACAACAAGAACAACGGCGGTGACCTGGACTTGCAGGACCTGTCTTTGCCCGTCGTGATCGAACCGAGCACCGTCACGGTCAGGGGCAGGGGGTGGGACAACAGAAGCCCCGGTCGAAACGGCAGCGGCGGCAATGACAACGGGTACCGGGGGGAGCACCACGACCGGTACAGCGGGGGGGGGCCTGACGGCTTCGACGGCGGCGATAAAGGCGGGCCGAGGTACGGGAACGATGCCGACGGCGGGCCGGGCTGGGGGGGGGGCGGGTTCAGGGATAGGATCAGGCTGCGGGGACCCCCTTCTCCCAGGTATGCCGGTGACGCCCCGCCGCCACAGCACGGAGGAGGAGGGCGGCAGTCTACGACGCACGTTGTGGGCCGCGAATCGTGGGAACAGCCTCGCGGCGGCAGCGGTCGGGGCCAATGGAACGGCAACGGCAGGTGGAGCGGCGGCGGCGGCGGCGGCAACAACCACCACCAACACCCGGGAGACGTAGGCGTGTCCTCCTCGCACAGGATTTCTCAGCGCGATGATTCCCGCAACAACGCCGCCCCGCGCTATGGCGGCGACCACATGGGCGGCAGCGGTGGGGGGCGGGGCCCTCCCCCCCTGGCTCGCCACCACTACACGAACGGCGGGGTGAACGGCGGCGGCATCGGCGGGTAGGCGAGAGGTAGGCAGCGGCGCACGGAGCGCAGCCGCTCCAGTAGCC